TCGCTTTCCAAAACGTTTGCATCACTCCAAATAGAAATCCATTAAGCTTCTTCCTTCTTTCAGCCCCTGACACCCACCAGTCTACATCTATCTCGGAATTGGCCTATTCTAAAAGGTTCATATATGTGGATTCCTAATAGTTATCTGTCAGTTTTGATGTTCATGTATGTTCTAGCATATGTCTTTGTGACTGAGTGATATTCCATTACATGTATGGGCCACTTTTGTTTCTCCAGTCCTCTGTGGACGGTCCTTCGGGCTCTTCTCACCGTCTGGTTGCAGTGAGCACAGCTGGACCAGCATGGGTTTACGTCCCTGCTCCATACGGAGGGAAGCAATGACTGGGTCCGTGGAAATGCTGTTTATAGTCTCAGGGAACTGTCCAACTGATTTCCATTCGACAAGCCCACCAGCACTCTACGAGGGTTCGTTTTTCTTCGTCCTCACCAACTCTGGTTTTGTTTTTCTGATAATCCCGGGTCTGAAGTGGTATCTCATTGTGGCTTTGATTTGCGTTTGTCTAATGTCTGATGACTAATGACACTGAGCATCTTTCTGAAAATGTGTTTATTGGCCATTTATTGATCTGCTTTGGAGGACTGTGAATCCAAGTCCATTGCCCAGTTTTTAACTGCTCTTCTTCAGCTGGAGCAGCTCTTCACATTTCCTGGATGTTAACCCTTGTTAACCCTTTGTTAGCTAAATATTGTCTTTCAGTCTGTAGCTTGTGTTTCCCTTTGATGCACAAAGGTTTTAATTTTCTTGAAATTCAACTTATCTGTTTTTCTTGTTTCTCATGTATTAAGTGTCATATCTGAGAGTCCACAGCCAAAACCAAAGTCCTGAAGGTTTCCCGTATGTTTTCTACAAATCTTACATGTAGGTTGTTGGTACATTTTGAGTTCAATTTTATATTAGTCTGAGGTGTAGGGATATAACATAGTCTTTACATGTGAAGATCCAGTTGGTCCTCTGGTTTAACCTTTAATTTTCTCCCCATATTTCAACTGAGTTTGTTAACATACATCATATAGTTTTT